CCTTAGCTTCCTACTACTCTTACACAGATACACCCGAAGGAGAAGACAATGAAAACCATAAGCTTCTTCACAAGAAACGTCTACACTATGGGATCTTATAACATTAGCTGTTGTTGTTGTTGTTGTGGTTAGCCCAAAGATATGACCGACAGTGACACCACCCCCCATTTCTTCATCATCTTCTGCTCGTCTTCTCTTTCCCAGGAAGGATTACGAAAGTGGTCACGGGAATGAATGTCAATGAAGTGCTTATACCTGCATCACGGAGCTCATCGGGATCAGCCAAGGAGTGTCCTCTGAACCTGTAAGTCTCACATTCCACCAAAGTGGGACCTTCCCCTCTCCTGGCTCTTGTAATCCCCTTATGATGCCGCATACACCTACCTATGTTTTAGATCCACGGGCAACTTTGGCATCAGTCCAACAAAAAAAAAAACATGGAAAGAAAAGCGCATCATCACTCACCGAGCCTTGTCCGAAAAATTGAACCCTTGGCTTTCGTTTTCTTATCCCGCCCGTTTTGCAACGCTTTTCCAGATTTACCGCTGCTCTCCCCGGATGAAGACGGCGTGAAAGGGTTTACCCTGCTCACTTTTTCATGGTACACAGCCGGAGGTGAAAGCCTCAACTGCGGCAAGCTCTCTATCTGTACTATCCTCTGGTCCTTCTGAAGTTTGGTTAAGATCTCAAACTGCATTTAAAATTCCAACCAGCCGCCGTCAAATCGTAGGAGGAATCTTCAGTATTACATGCTATCGTGTCATTTAAGTTCTAATATGGCAGTTAATGGCTTACCCTCGATATTTGCTGGCCGTGAGAATGATCAGACATGTCATTCTCGTACGAGTGAGTTGAAGCGCGCTTTAAAGTCTGTGCGTTGGATGAAACCGTGCTTATCAGCCCATAGGCTGGATATAATGATTTATTTCTAGAAGCCTGCGTGGCCTTCTTAGGCATACAAACAGGACAACCTGATGGAGAGGAGTGAGCTGATGACGATGATGCCCCGTTCTCCAATAGTTCACATTGAAGATGAGTTGCATGGCCACAGTTGAAAACACGTACACGAGTAGAAGAAGAATTCTTGTTGAGAGGGCAATTGCATATACAGCAGAGAAAACTTCTGGGTGCGTACCCATGTGTAGCACCCTTCTTCAGTAAGCTCATGGTGTAGAATGTGTCATCTTCTATTAGGGACTTGGCAGTATCCTGTTGAGGGTAAGCCAAAAAAAGATGTTAAATGTAGAAGACTGGTTAGCCACCCGATTCACGGAATTAATGATTAGGAAGGTTACCAATATCCTCCTCTCAAAGCCATATGTCCCGAGCATTCCCAATATCGTGAGTTTGAAATCACCAAACTCCTGATTACCGTTGTCAGAGAGGAGTTTTGACATGATTGTTGGAAGACGGACATATCCTATCATTCCTTCAACAATCTCTTTAATGAACTTAGAGAATAGCTTTCTCATCATTTGTGTACACGAGTGAGATTTTGGGATCTTCCACTTGATTGTATGGGTTGCTTCATCATCACAACATCCTGATGATTTTCCAACTGTTGGGCCTTTCTTTATTCCATCAGAGTTCCTCTGCTCACGGTATGAATCCATCAAAGGTTCACAGAAACTGAATTCAACATGGATGAGTGATGAGAAACATAAGGGGCATTAAGTTCCTATGGCTTGCCAAGGGCAGAACAAAAAGGAAACAAAACAGCTGTCACTTCTATACTGCGCTTCAGTGTAAATAGTTTTCAGTGCATTATGTTTCCCCATCTTTCATTTGATTATATATTGTAAATTATATTCATCATCTAGAGTGCAAAATTAATTAATTCATGGATATTAACCAGAATAGTGGACATGCTATTTATCGATAAACGTAGCCAGATGTATGATCACACTTACGTGTCAAGCAAGCGGAACCAGAGAGTCTCGGATTCCTCTGGGTTAAGACGTGGGGTGTTACGTTGACACAAACCTATGCAGGCTTGTAATATAGATCGTATGTCATGCACCTGGAGGATTAAAAACAGAATCAGATTAACTTTATGAAATCAGAGGTGGGGAGCGGAGAGGGCGGGCAAATATTCTTGCTAGAAAGAAATAGACAGACCTCCTTCAAATCCAGAACACTACCGAATTGCTCCAAGCTGGCTGATTCACTTTTACCCAACTTTGAAGTTACACCCCCCACTGCATTCTCAAGCTCAACAAATTTTTCACTGAGGCCAGAAACTGTAAGTGAGAGAGCGCTTGCTGCATCACCCACTCTCTCCAAGAGAAATGCTGCTGCATCTACAATCCCATATTCCTGACACAAGCGTAGACAGTGTTCTACCCTGTAGCTGTCAAAGGTTTCCAAGAACCTCAGGACCGATTTCTGGTCATACTTGCATAATAGCTGCAAAAATTATCAGAAACAAAAAGATGAGCCTTGATCATGCTAAGTAGTTAATGGGAAGGCAATCAAGAACACGCAGGGCATTCACAGGGAACCTGGCAATTAAAATTAGGGAATGGTTTAAATCAAGCTTCAGACCCAGAAAAATGATATTTTCTAGCAAAAACCAGCTCAATAGAATTTACATTTAACAAAAGCAACAGGGTTTTATGTACGTTTTGCACACGAGATTGCAAAAAACTGAAAAAGATTTACAGCAAGAAAGAGAGGATACATAGTTTGGCAAAGATATACATAGTCTTGCGAGCCTTTTTTCCAATAAAGAGATCAAGTTGGCAAACCCTTTAGGCATCTGTATGTAAAATAACAGCGCACGACACAGAAGGACTTCGAAAACCAGAATGAAACGATAAGAAGAAATTGAAGCTGTAGAGAGACACCAAAATGAGCATTGGTTTTATCCAGTGTCTCAATAGTTAAGCTTACCTCCAAGTAAAGCTCAATCATGTCATCAGTCACATTAATTGGATTGCTTCTGATGAGGTTGGGGAATTCATCGAGTCTCTCCAAATAAATCTCAAGCGCTTTGGACGAATCCCATGTATTTCTCCCACCCAAAAAATCTAGAGTTTCACGCTCATGTTTTTTTAGACTAGAAAAATCAAGAGTTCCAAACAAGTGAACCTCGATGACCGTCTTGAGAAACAGGAAAAGGCTTCTTGGGTGAGAGCGGAGTTGCTCTTGAATATGTGAAATTTTATCTTTCAGGCTATCAATGATCAAGAAGAATGTCCCCTCTCTGCAGAATAAGCATGACATGATTTCGAAACATTCAATACTGTCAGAGATCATTTGGGAGTATATGTAAAATCCACAGGAAAATAACTTACCGGCTTAATTCAAAAAGTTCTGGAACTCTCGAAATAACTGCGGCTTGAAAAGTAGTAAATTCATCTCCACTCGACTGTGACATCATCCTATCGATATAACAAAAGGAATGTATAGGCTCATCTGCATCTTTGATGTAACTATCCAAAGCAGCAAGGTACTGTCGCCTGATAGTATAAATATAACCGCAAACCTGAAAATTCAAAGCAGAAAGAATGAGCGAGGACAAAAACCCTAAAATGAGAACAGCAGCAAGAAACCCTTAAGAGGAAGGCTTGCATTTCTTTCCCGGATTACCTGGTAAAACTGCACCTTCTCACAAAGCTGTAACACATAAGCTAAATCCCAGTCAGACTCTTGGACAACTTTCAGAAGGTTTAGTAATTGATTCTCCCTCTTTTTAGGAGACACATGATAATTAGGAAGAAGGGGCTCCGATGTTAGGTAATCCAAAATCTGATTCAACACTTTCTTTGGGATAGCAGCTCTACCACACGCCGCATAGTATGCAACAAACTCAAGTAGATGACACATATCTTCCTTGGAAGGCCATTTTTCACCTGACGCAGTCTTATCTAAATCACCAGAGTCATCAGGCTGGTTTACGCCCCCATCCAGAATATGAACTAGTGCATCTATCAGATTCTGAACCAGCATATCAACACTTCTAGATTCAGGCATACTATCCACAGTCTCAGACTCTTTGCCTGACTCCAGCAGCAGATCCTCATGTTTCGACAGTTCATTCTCTGTGAAGGCACATCTGATGACATCTAGAGTGGCTTCAGTATCCATCTGTAACAGATGGTAAAGGTTCAAGTAGATCTCTCCAGACGCTAAACGTGAGGCTGTGCTAGAATCATGGGCATTTGAGTTTTCTAGCAGAAACTGTATCAGCTCCGTCCTAAGGGATGGCAAGCGTATAGCAGGCAGACTGCCGTGTCCTACATAGAGAGAAATAATGTTTCAATGGTCTTTGCCACGTTGAATGGACACATTCTACATCAAAGGGAGACCGTCCATAGGTTTATAAGAAATCATCAATAACATACTCAGACAATGTGTGATCTTAACATAGAATCAAACTGAAGTAGAATCATACCAGGTGGAAAAGCCAAGCCAAGAAAGCAGTGCTTTAAATAAACGAGCATCCTGTATCTGCAAAGAAAAAAGACAATTACTAGCTGGTCACTCTTGTGCAACAAGCACCACCGTGCAGCAAATTAGATTCTTCCCTCATAGATACTATTACTAATCTCGTAATGAGTTACAGATATAACAGTCCAGTTAAAGTGGAATCTAGGCATATTAACCTCCTTACTAGAGAGAAACAAAGGACCATGTTTATTCTGTTTTACATGCACAACTAGAACTCATGAGGGCACACTCACATGTTCAGCACGCCACTATTTTTTTTTTCCAGCCAGAAAAAAGGTACAAACATATTCATGCAACATACCCAATGGTTGTAGCTCTTTGGCTCTCACTGTTCCATAAGACCGTCAGGAGCTCTTCCAGTGGTGACCTGAAATCATCCAATCCTTTGTTGAAAAGATATATTAATGCCCCATACAGCCCATGCTCACGGCAAATTCTGACAACCTAAGTTCCAACGAGGGAAAATATCAAAACTCGACCATGATATTATGTTAGACTATCAATGGAGAAGAGAAATGGCACAAGATCGAAGCTGCATACAAAATATTACCTGATTGAAATCCAAGGAGGAAATGTCCATGTGCAGGACACATTGCTCAATTCTCTGTAGCCATCCTTTGCCACTATAATGTTCTACAAGCGCTTGCATAATCTGAAATGACAAAAATTCCTCAAAATAAAATACCATAGGACATTTAAAGAATAATAAAGGGTCGTACTAAATTGAGCAAAAGCTACCTCTGGAGGAAGAGATCCAAGCATATCCTTTAATATGTAAGGCTCCAGAAGCTCCAGAAAAGTGTCTAGACAAACAGGAAAAAATTTCTCAATTAAATACAAAAGAGTATACTGTCATATCGAACGCAAGCCAAGTAGTCCTGGCCAAAGGATAAGCTCTTTCCTTTCAACGTTGAAGATCCATTAAGGACTTGAATGAATAATGCAATTGAAACAGAAACCCAGAAAGAACATGTTGCAGTCCTAGTATATTGCCATTCAAGATTGAAGAGATCCACTTGATGATAGTGGAATCTGAACTGAATCTAGTTTTATTGAAAAATACAATACACAAACATGAAGCATGAAGGATATTCATCAAGATATGAAGAATACCTCTTTGCTCAACAGCCACAAATCTGGAAAATATCTCATCAAAGAGCAAATCCATCCTATTGATATGCACGCAAAATTCGACAGCAACACCACCGACACGATTGTATTGTTCTTTTATTTCTGAATTTGCAGAAAATGTTCCATTGCTTGGCTCATGAGTTACTCCAAATTTCTCAATCTGATTGGAAACTGCTATTGAAATATAAGAAAAGACTTCATCCACGTAAGAAAGGAGCAATTCTGCTAGACTGGGTGCTATGGCCTCCCTTATAGTGTCCACTGTTTTGGGAAGATCAACAACGCCATGAGCTTGCCCATCATACAATATCATTGCCATGTTAAATGCACCCATCCAATCACCTGCTTTCCTCAAAACATTTACCCGCTCCTTCCATGGCAGAAGTCTGGAGATTACAAGATGTACAGTCCCCAGGATATATACTGAAGCCCCTCTGACACCCACAGAATTGTGATACGATTTCTCAGGATTTCCAAAGACATTTGTAAAGTAAGTATGATAGGAAACCAGATTGTCCCCTGAAGACCCATCCACAGAAAATTTTGTCTGGTGAATCATAGTTCCATCTTTTGCAAACAGATACAAATGTCCTGTCAAAGTTGGGACCACCAGCATCTGAATACACAGAAAAGTAGAGATCGAACTTAAATTCTGACCGCAAGACAAAGCAGAAGGTTGTAAGAACTCCTAAATATACATTTCATGGTATATAAATATATCTTTACGTAAATGCATATAAGCACACCTGATCATCCAGCCAAGCCACACCAATGGCTGCACTGTCAAGTGACCATTTTGCATATTCTTTTAGGTCTGACTTTACCAACTTGGCAACCTGAACTCTCCGATCCCAGGCAATAGCAAGCAATGATACCCTATCTGCTGCCTCCTTAGACGAATTTTCTGAAAAATTTCACGAAACAAAATTATGCTAACAGAAAACTAAGTGCAGAAAAGCATGTTTTTCTACCTGCAGAAGAATCACGCTTCTGCATTACACACTTCCAGGCTGTGTATGGCATGGAACCCTCCCGTACCCCTTCTGGTCTAGGAAGTTGAGCATACACCTCCAAATTTGGAATGAGCTTTACCTGTAAAGCCAGAAGAGGATCATTTCCCAGAACATAGTTATATGCTGAATAGGACCAAACGAGCTCCATACCACTAATGCAGTTTGATAGGTGACAAATATGACAACACCTTCTTCCACCGAAGATGATCCCTCATTAAAGAGCTTCCAACCTGAATCAACCCCGACAACTCCTCCCATCATGCTAGCTATACTGCTTGATGGAACTGCAGTATTACCTTGAGAAGAGACTAAAGGGCTTCCACAAAACTCATCTGACAGAGGGGATGCTGAGAGCACTGTTCCATTTTTTTGCCCGTCGAGAAGACACTAATGCAATTAAAGAAAAGCCACACAGGCCCAATAGTTAAAGTCAGTTAGGATGAGCAAGACAGAAGTAAACAGACAGATTCAAGATCAAATGCAAACACATTTTACCTGTGTCTTAACGGAGTACATGTTCAGCAACAGAACCCATGAGAAAGTGTGTAAGAAAACCAGACCCTTAGTATCACTAGTGATAGCTTTGAACTGCCGAGAACCCTGAGAATCCCGCCCAAGGAAAAAAGTATGTACTACTGGTGCGGTGTGTTCTCCGGTAATCACTTTTGCTGCTGAAGCTCTCTGCATATCCCAAACTGTAACGTGCCCATCACCATAACCGGCTAATAGTAGGTCCCCATGCTGGTTGAAGCAAATGGAAGTAACTGGGGCCTGAGACCTTTCTCCTTGTAAACCAAGCCAAATCATCTAAAATTTTATATACACCATTGTTAATTATTCATGCATAAATCAATTCAACTTATAAGATAACGTACACATAGAAAGAGATTGAGAAAAATATTAGTAATGGTGTAAAAGACAACCTTGGTATCCATCTGATCTGCATTATGAGATGAATATTTACTTGGCACGACGAAAATGACCCCTTTCGACATCCCCACTGCAATATAATTCGAATGAACAGCCAAAACCTGAGGAGAACCATGGTCTTGCTTAAATACAGACGATGAAATAGTTCGGCTGATGATATTGTCAGCGTCAACATCAAAGTAACCCAATGTGGTCGAGCCTGACTTTGCACCCTCGAGTTTCATCGGTTGAGCAGCAGCCCCTTCCTCCAAATGCAAACCAGTATATGCTTGTTTCTTCTCAAACTCTTCAGCCAAATCAAGTGGTTTCCTAAAAGCCCGTGATTTCTTTTCCTCTCTTTTACTCATACTTTCTTTCTCCAACTCCTTAATTCTCTCTTCTACAAGCTCTGAAATGTCGCTCATTGAACTTCCTTCATCGGGATCAATCGCAACAGCACCTTCTTCTTTACAACTTGCCATACCTTCACCTGAATAGTCTCTCCTGAAATCTCCTAGAGTTGAATCAACTTCGTTTCTTCGCATCTCATCATCTGACGGCGAAGAAGGAATGCTCTTCTCATCAGAATCATTCAAGTGCCGAGACTCTGAAACCACCTCAGTCGTAGCAACATACATGCTGTCATCTTTCACACTGTCTTCGTCAGTAACACCGGCTTCCAGTGTGGCTGAATCTTGTTGCAACGCGAAGTCACCTTCAACATCGCAGCAAGAGGACGAAATAACCAATTCAGGCTTGGAATTTCCCAAAGCATCATGAGCATCAGTTAACTCCTGAGCAGTATCACTTGCTCCTACTTCCGTCAATTCAGCTTCCTTCTTTTCTTGGCTTGCAATACCCTCGCCACTGTCCCCATGTTCCCTGGGAGATTCTCCACCGGAAGATCGAAATTCATAAACGGATCCAGCATCCACTCCAACAGAATCCCCATTCGAGGAAGAAACTTCCCGTTCTTCTTCAGCGCCACCGGAGACGAATTCTCCATCATCCAGAACATCCTGCCGCGACCCGCCACTCGCTCTCCTTGACTTGATGATCGCAGCGTGTGGAGTCGGAACCGACCTGGACGCCGCTACAGCCGCCGCAAGCGCCGCTCCAGGCTTCGCATTCGACCGCACTCCGGCGAAGAGCGAAGGAAATTGTCTCGCAGAAGAAGAAGTCGACGCAGAAACTCGCCGAATCGCATCGCTGACGCGGGAAACGCCCCGAGGCTTCTCAGAATCAAGGGTTTCAGGTCGCACCGCATCGTTCAGAATAGGTTCCGATTGACGGCGAGTGAGATCATGTTCTTTCCGCCGGTGAAGATGATCCCGGGCCGACGGGGGCGAGGTCGGAGGGGAAGAAGACGCGGAGGAAGAATCGGAGGCGTTGAGGATATCATCGACAGTGCGGCGAAGGGCGGAGGAAGAACCCAAATCGGAGTCGAAGTCGGAGTCGGAGTCCGAATCGGAGACGAGGAACGAATCGAGATCGAGCTCCTTCCGCGGATTCATGGCGCTGAGCTTATTCTTCACTCGCTGACGCTTTCTGGTGTCTTCGCAGTAGCAACTAGCAACGGCTCTTCACGTCGATCCATCGGCGCCGTAGACAGACCAAGACCAACGCTCTAATTATAATTAATATGTAATCAATCAAAAAGGAAAGCTTCCGAGCGAAAGAGAGGATTCATGCCACCGCCACTAATTAAGATTACATCGGTAAGCTTCCGACAGAAAGAGAGGGTTCCAACAGGTTAGAGAATATATTAATAGTTTCCGATCATTTTATATGTATAAATCCATTTTACGGCTTCGGCCCAGGTACAAACAAAAAGAATTTCATATGAGGCCCAAATAAGAGAGACAAACCCAACAGAGGAGGAGATCAGGTTTCACCAAGTTTAAGTTGGGCCTTAAGAAATTAATCCGAGGCAATTAGTTTATAAAGCCCAATGGGATATAATGGACACGTGGAAGAATATGATTCGAGAAGGTTTGTGCTTTGGATGGGTGGTGTTACATGTGATCCGAGCACCACGATGGGGTCTTCTACTACTACCGGAGATGGGAAAATCCCGACTAAGCTGATAGCAGTTTAGTTTTGGTCGGATATCACAACACAACCGAAGAGAAAATCCCAAATTCCCCCGAATTATAATTTCCCATAAATCCGATCGTAAACAAACACCGTCTGGTATGCCGAGAAAATTCTCCATTTCTTCTTTTCTTATACATTTGTATTGGTTGTTTCTTAGATTTTGTTCCCTCCCGAAAAAGGATAAACCCTAGTTTCTGGGCATCTTTCAAGCTCAGATTTTTCCTTTTTTCTGAGCTAAGACGGTGAGTAATTTGCTTTTCGAGTATCGATCTCTTTTGATTTCCGTTAGTGGCTTTTGCTTGATTTTGTTTCGTGGATGTGAATCATGAATATGTACCCTGATCGCCATCTTCTTCTTCTTCTTCTTCTTCTTTTTTCCTTTTATGGTTCGCTGGGGTGTTTGTTCAGTTCTGAAACTGATTGCCGATTAATTGTGTTTGTAACTTATGACTGGTAATCAGATTTCTCTGGAATCAATACACAAGCCTAGCTCCCTTTTAAGATCTGATATGGATTGCTGTAATGTTCTTTTTCCGAGTGGCCGTTGCTGTTTTTTTGTAGCCATCAATCTACTCTGATATCTTATGTATCTTTTACGCCATTAAAAGAATCGAATCGAGTTTACGATATGTTTCCGTAGTTTGTTGCGTAGTGGAAACTGTTATGGTTCCGTAGCTTCTTCCGTAATGATTACCTGAGCTTCCTGACTAAAGTTAAGTGCGGATGCTGTATGGCCAGATCTTTTAAGTGCAACCTCATGACAGACGGGCCAGAAGTTGACGACCGTGTGGATCTTGAAGAGGGTAACTACAGCGAAATGGATGATGAAGCCGAAGAGGAACAGGTGGAAGAGTATGAAGAAGAAGATGATGGTGATGGTGGCGATGCAAATGCTGAAGAACATGATGAAGAAGAGGAATATGGAGACACAAAGGTGGAGGATAGGGAAGAAGATCAAGATCAGTCCCCTGAAGAGGATCAAACCCATATTGATATCGAGGCTACAGAAGACGAAGAGAAACCGGGATCCCCTGTTAACAAAGAAGAAAGGGAGAAGTACTCCCATCTTCTTTCACTCCCTCCTCATGGTTCTGAAATTTTTATTGGTGGTCTCCCAAAGGACGTTGGAGAAGAGGACTTGAGGGATCTATGTGAACCGATAGGCGAGATTTTTGAGGTTAGAGCTTTAGTAATGACATTCTCGCTGTTGCCTGTCCAATTTTAATACCATCCTTTTCATAGGGTTCTATTATTTTGCTTGACTTCAGCTTTTCTTACCAGGTGAGATTGATAAGAGATAGAGACTCCGGTGAGAGCAAAGGCTATGCTTTTGTGGCTTTCAAAACAAAAGAGACGGCGCAGAAAGCCATTGACGAGTTGCATGGCAAAGAGTTGAAGGCAATCTTAATGCCTGATTATAGCTGAACTTGTTGATCTCTGCTTCTTTGCAATATTCCTGTCCCTTCCTCTGTTTGACATATGTTGTATTTGCAGGGCAGGACAATAAGATGCTCCGTCTCCGAAACAAAGAATAGACTGTTTATTGGTAACATTCCAAAGAGCTGGACCGATGATGAGTTTAGAAAAATCATCGAAAGTGTGGGCCCCGGAGTGGAGAACATCGAGCTCATAAAGGCAAGGAGATGGAATTAGTCGGTGATTTTTGCATCGTTGTAGCTGATCTTGATCTATATTGCTCACTTGCTTACTTCTTGACTTCTTGTTGCTATATAGGACCCAACAAATCCGTCTCGTAACCGAGGTTTTGCATTTGTGTTGTACTACAATAATGCATGTGCGGATTATTCAAGGCAGAAAATGATAGATGCCAATTTTAAGCTTGAGGGGAATACCCCAACTGTGACCTGGGCGGACCCTAAAGCCTCTCCCGAGCATTCAGCTGCTGCTGCTCAGGTAAACTTGAAGAGTACTTAACAACTTTTTGTGATCATCTTCAGACTTTTCTTTCTGACAAATTTAGCTTTGTGTGATGTTCTTGTTTGGAAATTTGTTTGAAATTTCTTTCCTTTACGCTGTGTTGCACCCATTTTATTATTTTTCTGCCTGAATTCACAGGTGAAAGCTCTTTATGTCAAGAATATACCAGAGAATACGTCAACGGAGCAACTGAAGGAACTGTTCCAGAAGCATGGTGAAGTGACCAAAATTGTCATGCCACCTGGAAAGGGTGGAAAACGAGATTTCGGCTTTGTCCATTATGCTGAAAGGCCTAGTGCATTGAAGGCTGTCAGAGATACTGAAAAATACGAAATCAACGGTAAATTGTATACCCGTTTCTGATTGAATGCGTAGAACCTTACTGAACCCTAGCCGCTTGTTTGTCTCTGTGGACAAATGGTGAGAAAAATGCAGGACCCTGTTGCATGATTATCAGGATCGTTATTGTAGATGCCCGTTTCATTACTGAGAATATACTTGAAATGTTACTCTCGTCATAAATTTTAGCGATCTGGAAATTCATGTAAGAATGTATGTATATATGTATGTAAAGTTCACTTCCTTGTTGTTGATTATTACACAGCAGAAAACTTAATCCTCATCTATTCCTGTGTAGTTTCCTTTCTTCTTGTTGTGAACTTTCCAAATAGTGTATTTCCTTGAGTAACTCGTGCCACAAATCCTGCACCCCAGGTCAAGTATTAGAAGTAGTGCTTGCTAAACCCCAGACTGAAAAGAAAAGTGATCCCTCCTATCCCTATGGAGCGGTCCTTCATCCTCCTCCCTTTGCCGCTGCTCCTACGTTCGGTGGTTTTGCTGCGGCTCCATATGGTTCTCTTGGTGGTGGTGGTTTGGGTGTTGCGGCTAGTTTAAATCAGGTATGATTCTCAAGGAAACATTGCTCTCTCTCTTGAAATATATATATATATATATATATCTCACCAGTTTGTTGTTCTTTGTTGAGTTGAGAGTTGGCTTTGGTTTAATAATGGCATGAAACAGCCAATGATCTATGGTAGAGGGCCAATGCCCACGGGGATGCAGATGGTGCCAATGGTTCTCCCAGATGGCCGAGTCGGCTATGTCCTGTAAGTCATAATACTCATAATCCAGTTACATATATGGCATGTCCTCTACAGCAAAGATTGGACTTTTCTAGTACCCAATTCTTCTATGCCATTTTTTGTTTTGTTTTAGAGCTTGTTTGGGTGTATTATGCAGGCAGCAGCCTGGGATGCAGATGGCGCCACCACCACCATCACGACCGGGCGGCAGAAGAGAATACAGGACCAGTGGCTCAAGCGGAGGGTCAGGCCGAGGCAGCAGCGACGATAGCAGCCGTGGCCGAAGGTACCGACCTTACTAGGACCATCACAAAAGGCGGATGGACCCCAGCAATGATGTTGTATTAGACTTTGTTTGTAGTGTCTGCTTTTGGGAAACCCAAAAACCTATGGGATATAAATGGAAATCAAACCCTGTATTTCTGGTGGGTAACGGAATTCAAATTTAGGCAAATGGGATTTTGAGGGGTTAGAGTTGAGCTTCAATTGATACTATATCTATATGACCCTACTCTTCTTCTTCTTTTTTTTTATGGGTAACAGCATTCGGACACACCTTCCCGAATTTTTTTTTTCTTTTTGTATGAAAAGGCAAACGGGATTTGAGGGATTATTGTCTGAATGGATATTTGTCTTCAGTTAACCTAATCTCCATCAAAATTGGGCCAATTAGAATCAGGTATCTGTTTCGAAATTTCACTTAGTTTCTTCCCATGCAAGTTTATGTATAATCTAATCGTTCCTACGCGGACTTCATATATAATCGTCCGATATGATATGAGTATTGTAATCATTTCTTGTGAAAGTTTGAATATAATCGGATATTGGATGTTCTTCTAGTAAACCCCACGACAAATTAAAAAAAAAATGAATAATATAATTCGGGAGTCTCTTTCGAGGAGAACGACAGTACGACGAGGGCGTGACTGAAATTTTCCATAAGTGCCGACTCTCCTCTTCCTCCCATTTATAAATAAAATGAAATTAAAAACGTCAACATCTAACGCATTGTGTATTGTCTTTTTTTTCCCCCTAAAAACAAGTAGATCCGTTGTGACCCATGTGCATTTTTTTTACAGATTTCTCCATGAGATCTACCGGTTCGGTTTGAACCCTAAATTACTCAGACTATATATCGTTCTTGGTTCGACAAATTTCCCACGTAAACGCACCAAACATCCATCCATATATTGGTTCTTTTATCACCAAAAACCAACAATCAATATAAAATGATAGCATAAGGCATATAAATGAATCAGTACCGCCTTGGTCTAAACCGGTCGGCAGGTTAAATCTTAACCGGGTAATTCTCTACCGAACCGACCCACGGGTTACCCTTCATCTCGGTCGCTGATACGGCCCGTAACGCCCTCCAAACCGCGCTGTTACACTTGAAACCCGACCCGAACGCTATCTGCCACAGCCTGTCTCCAGCCGAGACCCGGCCCTTGGCCTCGGTGTACGCCAGTTCATACCAAAGCGAGCTGCTCGACGTATTACCAAACCTGTGCAAAGTCATCCTAGAAGGCTCCATATGCCAATCTCTGAGGTTAAGATTCTTCTCCACCTCATCAAGAACGGCTCGTCCACCTGCATGGATGCAGAAATGCTCGAACGCGAGCTTGAAATCCGGTATGTAGGGTTTGACTTTTAGTTTAAAGAACTTCCTCTTCACAAGTGTCATGAAGAACATAAACTGTTCCGACAAGGGCAACACGAGCGGTCCTAGCGTCGTGATGTTCGTCTTCAACGCGTCCCCTGCCACGGCCATCAGCTCACGAGCCAACGAGACTCCGATGGCTCCCTTCTCGTCCTCCTTCTGGTATACGCAGTTGTAGTTCTTGTCGTCGGAGCCCTTGTGGGTCCGTACGAGGTGGATGAGTTCGTACTTTGACCGTGACCTGTCTTGTCGGCGGTTCGAGAGGAGAACAGCGGCGCCGCCCATCCGGAAAATGCAGTTGCAGAGAAGCATTGACCGGTCGTTTCCGAAGTACCAGTTCAGAGTGATGTTCTCCGTGCTCACAACGACGGCGTAAGAATTAGGGTTTGCTTTTAGAAGGTTCTTGGCGAGCTCGATGGAGATCAATCCCGCCGAGCAACCCATTCCACCAAGGTTGTAGCTTTTTATGTCTTCTCTCATCTTGTAACGGTTCACGATCATCGCCGACAATGACGGCGTCGGCACGAACAAGCTACAGTTCACGATCAAGATCCCGACATCGTTCGGTTTAACACCGGTTTTGTCGAAGAGTGCGTCCAGGGCTCCGAACATCACAACCTCGGCCTCGGCACGTGCCTCCGACATGCACAGTTTCGGGGGTCTCGAGGTTATGCCACGTGGCAGGTACGTCTCGTCTCCTAAACCGGCCCGAGTTGATATCCTCCTCTGGAACTGAACCGTTTCCTCGTTAAACGCTCCGTTTTCCTCCGTCATGGTCAAGAACGACTCCACCGACATTTTCCGTTCGTCTTCCGGTTTGTAACACGCGAAATCCACGAGGCAAACCGGACTCGACCGCTTTGCTAGGTAGAGACCCAAAACAAAGCAGAGGAAAACCGAACCGGTTAGCCTCGTCGCGGCGTCGAGCTGAACCG